AAAGGCAATTAGGTCCCCGATGCCTAAGCCGCTTAAGTCTTTCCTCATTTTCAAGAACTCCCATTTCCTCCAATGGATTCCTGCTTTATCTATACTTCGCTTCCTCCAAAAGGAGGCAATCTTCCGCTCAATTGCTTTGCAAATCGAGATGGGTATCTTAAAGATGGACATTGCATACTATGCCAAGGCTTGAACTATAGTTTTAATTAGGATCTCCTTCCCTGCTTTAGTAATTAACTTTTCTTTCCACCCCTCTAGCTTTGTATTAATCATCGTTTGTTTCTTTGATTACCCTCCAATCTGAAGGGATGCCTAGATACTTGCCTGTGTTATCGGTGATTGGAACTCTCAGCTCCTCCCCCATATTTCTCTTCAATAGCTCGGGACAACCATTACTAAAGAAAATGCTTGACTTATTCAAGTTAATAGCTTGTCCTGAGGCATAGCAATATTGGTTCAAAATATTTGCCAAGTTCTGACACTCCCGCACCGTGCCGTCCAAAAAGAAAATGGTATCATCAGCAAATAACAGGTGTGATAATGATGGGCCCCATCTATTCAGCTTTATACCCCTCACACTACCTAAAGTCGATCAATTTAATTAGAGAGTTAAGGAAAAGTCCGCCATTAATTACACCATGCGTAAGCCCAATAAAGATTTAAATCTCAGCTAACAGGTACAGCTCAAGCTATGAGCCTCTTTTATAAAGCCCATATGAACTCTAAGGTCGCATTTGGCGGACTAGATTGAGGTCGGATAAGATAAATTTTATCGTATTTGGCATTTAACAACACAGCTTCAGATGAGATAAACTCCGGATAAAAGCTGGACAACATATCTTCGCTCTAAAGGGTGAAGTAATTTTAACACCATGATTTGATTGGAAAAATGAAGATAATAATAATAAATGACAGAGCTAATACCAACCGTGCCTTTCTACTTGGGCGCGCTATCTCCCACTGCCAAGTGGTCACAATTCTCAGTCACCACTGAATGATGATTGCTTTAGAGTTTTGCTCTCTATTGAAGGCGCCACGGCTAGATTTGGGCAGATTTGGCCAGTATGACCACCCAACGTTGGTCGCACCCCATGTCGACGGCAACAACGTGGGATATGTGCAATCTTGCCTTGACTTGCAAGACCATTTACAATGTCGATGTATCTCACTTACATCTGCGTTATGTTCTTGTCGAACTTTACTTTAAACATCTCGTAATTTCCAACCAATCTGTTCATCTTGGTTTCGCTGACTCCGTCGGTCCCTTCATGAGTGACTTTTAAGTCTATCCTGGATATCTTTAGATGCAGTACGAGAAGAAACTTCATTAAATTCAATGAGGGATAATGCAACAGTACATAATGTGAACAACTTACTGCATTTACAGTAAGAAGTTTTGTTTCTTCTTCCAGTGTGATGCTTGCTAGGGGTGAAACAACAGGAGCAAAGCATTAGGTTGTGCAGCAGGAGGTGGTGTTACAGGTACAGGAGAAGCTGGATTTCTTTGAGTTGGCACGTATTGTCCATTTGGATCTTCTACTCCCATCCTGCATATTAGATAAGTGTAAGCTATTTCCATCAAACATGGGAGGACTAGAAATAGATTGTCTTTCATTAAAAAGAAGCTCCTATAGTGCCAGCCATTTGGATCTTCTACTCCTTAAGTATGAAACCCTCAATACTGAGCAACAAAATCTATTCCCAACTGAAATGGACTTAGCATGATATATATGAGGGAGGTGAATTAGTTGTTCAACAAAATTTGAACTGTGTAGAAGGTGCACTGCCGCTGTGAAAACGTGTACTTTTGCGCAAAATCACGATCTTCTATCAAATAGAAATCGAAAGTGTTTTAAGGGATGGAAAAAATGCGAGAATCGAATTTATAGAGGTTTGACATTTTTACTTGGCTTACTCCGTTCTTCCAGCTCTAACAAGCTTAACAAGGTTGGAATCCATTATTTAACCCTCGAGATGTTACAGCTTATATAGAATGTGCCGCTTCCACTTGAAGCTCTCGAGTTGCTTCTATTGAAGCACCTCTCACAACAATATATCACTTTCTTTCCAGATTACAAATATTCACACCCTCTGTAGAGAATTACAACCAAAAATCGCTTAATTTTGCACAAAAGAAAGTAAGAGAACTTACCGCATCAGAGAGAAAATTGTTCGTGAATTTTTTAAATGCCGCTAGCCACTTTGATTGATTTTTAAGGGCTTTTAAGTTTCAAAATTTCCGTCGAAAGCTCTATCCTATCAAGCATCTACGAGTTAATCTTTCTTGACCAGCAAAACGCCCTACTGCGAAACATTAAAGGACATTTCTCTAAGTAGAATACTCTGCTTCTGCAGTCTGTTTAGCATATGTTCTGCTCATCCAAAAACAGCATTTTTGACTTACTCCGGGTTTTGTTTAGCGAATTGGAACACTTGAAGATAACTGAAAAACACTAACTTGATAGAAGGGTTGGGTCTTTTACTGCTAGGACCTAAGATGCTCATATTAAAACCATCAACTTCGTCTGTAACATGTACTACTTTTATAGCAGCGGTCCTTCGAGACATTTCACAAAATCTCATTCTTCGATCTATTCACCTTAAGATGATTCTTCCAAACAAATTGATGTCGTTATTACCTGTAAATTGATTACCTTTTGTTGGTCCATCCAAACTTTAACAATCTCTCGTTCTACAGCTTGTTTTCACCTTTGACAAGATGGTTCTTCCAAACAAATTTACGTCGTTATTACCTGTGAACTGATTACCTTCTGTTGGTCTATCCAAACTTTAATGATCTCTCATTCTACAGCCTGTTCTCCATCTATAAAGATCCTTCCAGACTTAGAAGGACTTGCAAGCCGGCACTAGCTGTAGCTCTTATTTTTTTTCCTTTTCTTTTTAAGTTTGGGTTCTTTTTTTTTTTTTTTGTTGAAAAAATACCACCAAAAACTCAAAATTATGCCACTTGTGATAAATTTACCCTGAAATTTTTTTTGTGACACGAAAAACCCCAAACTATGCCACTTGTGACACATTTACCCCACAATACTTTGGTCCAAGGGCATTTTCGTCTTTTTCCTTTTTTCTTTCTTCTCTCTTCCCTTCGCCGGCCATGGCGGAGGAAAGTCGACGAGGGCGGTCCTTGCCGGTGTTGGGGTTGGGCGAGGGTTGCCTTAACCGGCGTCGAGCGAGGGTCGCCCTCGCCGAATTTAGCAAGGGCGACCCTTGCCGGCGTCTGGCAAGAGCCGCCCTCGCCCGACGTTGGCGAGGGACACGGGTGAGGGTCACCCTCGCCAAATCCGGTGAGGGCACCCTTCGCCTGCCCAGGCGAGGGCAACCTCGCCCGACGTCGGCAAGGGCAGCCCTCGCCCAACCCCAACGCCGGCGAGGGCTGCCCTCCGCCATGGCCAGTGGAGGGAAGAGAGAAGAAAGGAAAAAGACGAAAATACCTTTGGGCCAAAGTATTGTGGGGTAAATATGTCACAAGTAGCATAGTTTTGGATTTTTCGTGTAAAAAAAAAAATTCAGGGTAAATTTGTCACAAGTTGCATAATTTGGGGTTTTTGGTGGTGTTTTCCTTTTTTTTTGTTTAAATCGAATCTTTTTCATTTTTGCAATCTAACTTAAGTAAGACGTGGAGTAAAAAATCAGGATTTGGACCCAGTCACTGACGCTTCAGCATTATGTTTCATGCTTTAGTTAAAGTTAATGCCATGTAGGAAAGTTAAAATAATACAACAAATGCCATGTCGGCATTTTTCTTGTTCGTTAAATTGACGGTGTCATGGAATGATTTAATTGCACAAAATTTCACAAGTCTTAGGACTTGATTGTATATTGTAAAAATTTTAGGACTCAGTCGCATTTCCGCGACAAGTTTTAAAGCTTCAAGTTTACTTATCCCTTAATATTATTCAATTTTATATCGCTCTAACGCAATAAACAAAATTGAAAACAAGTAATAATGGAATTATTAATATACTTTTATGAATTGCATTTGGACATAATTTTTCAAAAAACATTACAATTCATGCGAATTATCATGAATTATGGACATATATATAAGGCAAAAAACCACCAAAAACCCCAAACTTTATCATTTGTGACACATTTACCCCGAACTTTTTTTTGTGCCAAGAAAAACCCCAAACTATGCAACTTGTGACACATTTACCCCAATATACTGTAACCTAGGGCATTTTAGTCTTTTTCCCCTTTTCTATTTTTTTTTCTTTTTTCCGGCGGGGGCTGAGGTCGTCGGCGAGATCTCCGGCGACCTCACCGGCGAGGGCGAGGGACCCTCGCCCCGCCCAAGCGAGGCGAAGGTCGCCCTTGCACGGGCGGGCGAGGCGATCCTCGCCTCGCCTCGCCGGCGTCGGCAGCCCTCGCCTCGCGGCGTCGGGCGGGACCCTCGCCCGCCCGGCGAGGCGATGGCGCCCTCGCTGGGCGGGAGTGGGCCGCCGCCGGCGTGCGGCGAGGCTTCCCTCGCCCGCCCAGAGAGGCGCCTCGCCGCGTCGGGCGAGGGTCCCTCGCGCCTCGCGTGGGCGGGCGAGGGAAGCCCTCGCCCCGCGCCGGCGGGCAGCCCTCGCCGGCGCCGGCGAGGGCGAGGACCTCGCCCGCCCGCGAGGGCGCCCTCCTGGCCGGGGTGAGGAAGCCCTCGCCGACGCCGCGGGCGGCCCTCGCCCGCCCGGGCGAGGGCGGCCTTCGCCTCGCCTAGGCGGGCGAGGGTCCTCGCCGACAGCCGGCGAGGCAAGGCGCCCCTACTGGAAAAAGAAAAAAAAGCAGAAAAAAAAATAGAAAAAGGGAAAAAGACTAAAAGGCCCTAGGCTATAGTATATTGAGGTAAATGTGCCACAAGTTGTATAGTTTGGGATTTTTCATGATACAAAAAAAAAATCGGGGTAAATGTGTCACAAGTGGTAAAGTTTGCGGTTTTTGGTGGTTTTTTCCCTATATATAATTGTATTTGGAGGGGTTTTTTCTCCGCAAAACACACCCGCAAGAAAAGAAGAAGAAGGGCCGCTTCCCTCTCTCTCAACATCACTCGACCTCCAATTCCCGAGTCGACGCCCCGTCGAGCGCGATCGATTTGCGTCGCGTGCACGGATTCCTCAGACGATCGGTATGGTTTTCTGGGTTCGGGGATTCGTCGAACGATGTCGATGTTTTTCTTGTTATTTGCCTCTCGGTCGTTGGAATGACGTCTTGCCCCGTTTCTTTTCGTGGTTTTCTTGGGATTTGCGGTATGTTCAGACCGTTTTCAAGTTCATCGGCCTGTCTTGCAAAAACCCTTCTGGGTTCTTGCGGTTGTAGGCTTTGAATGAAGCCATGGAGTGATTTGGGGTAGGAAGTCGAATCCCAGTCCCCTAATGTATTGAATTAAGCGACTGCAAGGGTGCATTTCTCTCGTTTCTTTCTGTTGCCGGAAAAACTTTCGTGAATGAGTGATGGTTTCGATTGCAGAAGAATTTGCGGTCCTGAAGGGGGTAAGCATGAAGAAAATGGACAGGAGTGGAGGTAGACAGGGAAAAGGGCAGGTACGCAAGGTTGGAAGCATAATGCAGTCGCTGCCTTCGCAGACACAGGTGCACATCTTTGCCCCCAAGCAATCGGGTTGAAATGCATGTTTTGACATTCATATAGATGGGGTTGTGGTGTTTATGGATAGCGGAAGCCCAATCGAGGGGGGTACTGCTCCTGAAAGTAGTTTTGCATTGTACCACGAAAGTTTCGGTGTTGTTTTCGATTATTTGGATTTGGAACAGAAATGACAGCCTTATGGTATAAACAACAATGTGTTAGTGATTTACAAAGAGTTTTTCTTTCAGTTCAAGATCTGCTTAATAATACTATAACCCGCAAAAGAAGCAAACGTAATTAGTTGGCTTACAGAGTAATGGACAATAATTTTCCGACACTAACGCACAGTTTGACAACTGATGTGCACAGACATAGCAGCATATGTAAAGAAAAGTTTGAAATTCAACTGGATTCCATTTGGTCAGGTGGAAGGTGCTTCAGAGACCATTTTCCAATTCATGGGGGGTGGGGATAAGATATTGGGAGTTACATCTTTGTTGCTTTTTGATAAGGCTCTGGGTGGAAGTTAAATCTTTGTTTAGTTGTGAGGGCTTATTTCTCGGATATGAGCCTCCTATTGGCTTATATGATAAGATACATAAGGACCATATGGCCCCTTCGTCACACACCTGAACAAGCAACTAAGTGAAACCAACTTCATTCTCAGTTTTTTGGTGAAGTTGCTTCCTTTTTAGTTTTTTCTGCCTTCCGGGCTGTTAGGATACTTCTGATTTGGACTCTCTGTTAGTTTGAGAAAGAACATTAGATAGCGTGGAGAATTAATTTTCCTGGTTAATTTTGTAGACTAAAATTTAGGTTGGTCAACTTTTGATACCGTAATGATTTTACTTTATCTATCTTTATAGAGTGAGGTTGATTTCGTACTCGTAAGATCGCACAGAGTTTACTTGTCAAACATGATTCTGACTGGATAGGGTATTAAATGCTATATCCTCCTTGTCAAATGATCAAGCATATCTGGATATTTGAAACATTTTGTTTAAGTTATAGTTCTCTTTGGATAACCTTATTCACCTGTCACTGTTAATGCCCAGGTGTTTATGAACGAGTGGTGGCTGGTCAATGCTAATGGAAAGGGTTTAGCTGTTGGAGGGTTTGCTCATAGAGAGTATTCTACTTCTCTCTCTCTTTTGGAGATACATTTTTTCATTTCTTTTTTGAAAAATTTCTGGCAAAGTCCTAGATGTGCATTATCTAATATATGCATTTGTAAAAATGCTGTCATCCATCCATCTTCTCATGTATAACTCCAAGTTTGTTCACAATGCATATGCATCCCTTATATTATTACCAACTATAGATATGGCTCTGAACCCCTCCTGCACAAGCACAACATGTAGGAGAGCGTGCACCTAATCTTTTAGCTTTTGTGTAGTGCCAACTTTGGTTTTGAGATAGATTCGTGAGATGAAGCTCTCGCTGCGATAGATCTTTATTTTTTTGTCGACTTCTTGGGGTTACCTCTCTTTCAAAATTTTAAACATTGCACTTGAGCGAAGTAAGAGAATCACCAATTATTTTATAGCCTTCATTGGGGATTTGATTTACCCGGCAAAAGAATTTCGGCAATGATAAAGCAGGCTTTTGATTTGGAAATGTGTGATACTGAGAGAGAATAGTATAACACAGTGGTGCTCACGATTTTTCAAGTACTCCATATGTACGGAACAGAAATCAGTACATAAGAAAAATAGGTACAAGCTCTTCTTTTCCATCATCCAAGTATCCTTGCATTTTGCTCTAAAATTGCATGCTTATAAAGAAGCAATAATTATACATGTCTGTGCTATATGACTTGTTGTCAATATTATTTCCATGGAATTTTAAAAAGATATTTGAATCTGTGAATAAAGGTTTTGCATCTCATAATCGTGTTAGCAGTTATATCATGTCATGGTTGAAGGCTAAGCAAGTTTTGGTTTAACCTATCACAGCAGTGAAAGAGTAAGCCTTTTTTGCTCTGCACCAATTGTGAAGAGGCATGATACTACCACCTTTGAGACAGCAGATGGCATGACAATTATGGTTGGTGGTCTAATCAACCAGCTACGCACTCTGGAAAATGGATTTTCCTCGAAGGTTTGTAAAATACTTTCATGTGAACAATGACTCTTGTTTGCTTGTAATTCAGTTAATAGTTTCTTCTAGTATCAAGTTCATGGCATCTAACAGATCGATCTGAATAGGTTTGCAACAAATTCCTGCTTGGATTTCCATATGACTGGGCAGAGTATTCAACTTCCTGCTATGGCGAAGACTGTGGTGTCCAAGCTGGTTCAGTTAAGGCTACAGCTTCTGAGAAAACTGACTCCCAGTCAAGAAGCACTGCAAATTACTTTGAGGCAACTTCTCTTGATGAGGTTACTGTACCAAAGTTACGCGATTTATATAGTCTCGGTTATCTTGATGATTCTTTCTTGATGAAGAAAATATATGATGATGTTGTGGGCATGTTGGGAAGTGGTGCTGAGCATGATGGAGAATATCTTCATTCAAGCAGAAAAAGTGGTCCCAGTACGGCGGCCAAAAGCCAAATTAATGATGCTCAAAATAATAAAAAGAAATCAAAGGAGGATGGGTTGTGCAAACACAATGAGGACATCTTGTCTGCAAGAAAAACTGTGAAGAAAGTAAACCATAAAAGCGGTCGTCAATTGAGGGCTTATGTTCGCAGACAAAGGGAAGGTGTTTCAACTAGAAGCATGACTAGATTCACTGGGCTTAAAAATTAATAAAGGTATAAACAGGCCATATGTGCGGTTCAGACGAATAACACATATCCAGTATCATGACACACCAAGTTGTTTGGGGCATTCACCTGGATTTTGGATTTCCCTATAAAAGATGGCGTACGGCATCTCTTCTGCTTCTGAAGAAAAAGAAGCTCTGCAACCTCCCATAGCTACACTTTCATCATCTGAACAGACTTGAGGTTTTCCTTCTCCCATCGTACAACTCCATGGCGCTTTCAATTCTGCTTTGCCTAATAAATGCGGGTGCAATGGAGACCCAGGCATTGCCTCCAGTGTTGAGGGTGCAATTAAAAGGTTGTGCCAAGTGAAGTAATCACGAAACTGTATTTTGGATTTTGTGTCTAGAAAGTTTCTGCGCAGAATGTAAATGTGATGGGCCCAGCAATTCTTCCAAAGTGCAGGAGTTATTGAGGGGAATTTTGCGGAGGCACCAAGAGGGGCTCTGTTTATGAAAGTATGGTTAAGTCATCTTTTTTGGATTTTGATGGAGGTGGGGATTTACTTGGTAAAGACAAAGTATGGCAGAATCTGTTGGAAATTAAAAAGAAGCAGTTGTTTAATGGTCTCGAAGTTGGGTCAATATTCTCTAATAATGATGTGATAGGAGGTGCTACTAATGGGGTTAAAAAACTTCTAGGAAGTACTGTTTACTTGTGCAAGATGGGAGGCAATACCCAAATCGATGGTTCTCTTGCCTGTCCATTAAAGATTGAGTCATTGATGATACTGCATCGATTGAACTCGTTTTGTTCACTGGAATTGGAAATAGGGGGGATGAGGCGATGGGAGACCCAAAAGGAGTGGCATATGGAAAGAAGACGAAGTGGCTTTGGAGGAAAGGGAAAGGTGCAAAAATGTTTATGGAGAACTTTGTAAAGCGAGACAACTTAGTGCATTTTTCTGAACCTATATATACTTGTTGAACAAAGTGAGACAACCAAAAGAAGGTTCTCTAGGGACGAAGTGGAGGCCCTGAGGTTTATTAATATTTCAGAACAACGAAGTTGTGAAGAGAGATTTATATGGACTGGGCCATGTGGCAAGAGAGTTCAAACCTTGCTAGTTCTAAGCATCAACCGCAGTCTACTTTGAGATTTCCTTGCCAGTGTCAGTCTCTCGGGAGGGCACAGGATCCTGGTATTCTTGGTGGGTTATCATCGCTTTAGTTGCTTTATCATAGTTTTTTCTTTGGCTATATTTCCATAATACTTAAGGAGAAGCTTGAAATGAGTTAATGAAGGTAGTCTTTATTTAAGTTTATTTACAGCATCTTGATCACATTCTTGCAATGGCTTACCTGGCCAATGTTCATTATTATGTGGTTATCATTGGTCATCACAGGACAGTTGAATTTGCATATAGGAAACACTTTATTTTGGCAAGGGCATCTTGTCTATTTCTGTTTGGAGTATGTATTGTAAATCTTGTCCTCCATTTATCTTCTTTGGCTTATTTTGTTTGGTTCCAAGAAACATGCTGCTAGGTTTGAGAATATTCTACTACAATAAGGTGCCCAATGTTTCCTCTCTCAAGAAGAATTCTCTAGTTTCATGTTCTTCTATTGACAAGGTTGTCCAATCTTGCTTTTCGTGGTGATCAAGGACCATTTAACTATACTTTAGATAAAACAGATGAAAAACTCAAGGAAAATGTCTCTGAAACGTGCATGATTGGAGAACCTCGTGGTGTAGTTCAAATTTGTTTCTTAAAAAGCAAGAGGCGCAACGGAAGCACTTTCTCTGATCATGCTATTTTACGGGAGAGAGCTTTTGAATATTCAGTTGATCGTATTTTGACAACTCATTTCTTTATGGTTGCTTTAGTCTGCCAGACATGATGGGATAGACTGATATTTTTTATTACTATCCTCTTTTTCCTCCCTCTTTTTTCATCCTTAGCAAATTCTGGTTTCTTTTCATTTTGCTTCGTTTTTGTGTAGATGAGTGAGTATGCTAAACTTTATGTCACCATTCGCGGTTAGTTTGACGATATTTTGAAGAAAATGTGTCCTTCCGGACTTGTACCCTCCATCATTATTCTTGCATACATCCAGTAATAGTCCATCATCTTGTCAGTGCTCAGATTAAGCCTGATTAATTTCCCATTCTCTGGCTCTCTTCTGTCTGGTTTTATTAATTTCCCATTCTCTGGCTCTCTTCTGTCTGGTTTTATCTTTTTCGCTTGTTGTTATCATCGGAAAAATCTCTTTTGTATCCCCGTGTCATTGTTCTTCCACTATCTGTTTGAATCAACACTTCTCACAGTTTGTTTTGACCACAGTCAAACTTAGGAATCATTTTATAGCCCGATTCTTCAGATAATAATTGTTGTACATAGTCAATTGCCTTATCGTGTCGATCTGATGATTCAAGTTTCTGTTCTGAACAGATGCAGTTGCTGAAGTGGAAGAGGGAAATCTCAAGAATTTCTTTGTTCCCGCACTAAAGACCTAATGTGGAACAAATGGGTCATATGTCTCTTGATTACTTCTCCGTGGTACATTCAAAGCCTACTATTTGCTAATCTAGGTGTATGTGCAGAGATCCCGTGCCCATCCAAACTAAGGTGAAAACGTAAAGAAATCTCCACAAGCAATTTGTTCTGCAAATAGAACATGGTTTTCTCGACGGTGCTCTCATTCTATGATGTTCGCTCTTCTTATTGTATTTTTATCCCTTGTTCTCTGTTTGTCCCTTTCGATCAAAGCATTTTCTTTTAAGAAGACTTTGGTTGGAATTTATCATCACTTTCAGGTGAAAGGGGTGATGAACGAGCGTGTCGAACTACATACAAAACACGGGGCAGTGAAACAGATTTGTGTGAATCTGGATCTTGCTTGTAGCCTAAGATATTGTCGATAGCAATGACAGCGACGAACCCAACTTTGATGCTGCTGGGCCTCCCGAAGATTTGTTGAGAGAGTATCCTAGGCGAGTCAGCTGTATAGGTCTTGTTGATTTAATTTTTCTGATGTTTGTGAAGATGGGGATGAGAAGTATATGAATTGGCTTCTGAAAGACTAAACATGAATTGTTTTAGTTCGTAAAACAGGTGTTGCTGGTTAAGAAATTGGGAAGATGGTAGGTAGCAACCTAATTTAACTACTAGATTTAGAAAACTTGGGGCGTGCATGGTAACATTTATGTTCTACAAATTAATTTCTCTATTTCTGTTTCTGGGATGAGTTTTTGAGCAAAAATATGCGTTTGATAATGACACAAAATTTATATTTCCGAATTAGAAATTCGTTTGATAACGACATAATTTCTCCCTTTCGAGCGAGCGGTGGAGGACAGTGGGTGGCGGCGGGGGGTGGAGGACAGTGGCCGGCGGCGGTAGGTGGTCGGTGTTGGGTGGCAGAGCACAGCGGCCAACGGGGAGGGGCGGCGGCCGACGGGGAGGGGAGGCGGCCGGCGGCGAGGGGCAGCGGCTGACGACGGAGGACAGCAACCGGTGGTGGGTGGCCGACGGCGGAGGATGGCGGCTGGCGACTGGCGTCGGGTGGCGGAGGAGGGTGGTCAGTGGCAAGAGGCAGCAGGAGGTGGCCGGCGGGCGGGAGGCGGCCGGCGGGCGATGTCTGGCGGCTTTAGAGCGATTGATAGGTGGCAGCGAAGGATGGCGGGAGGCGGTGGTGGGCAGGCTGAAGTCAGCGTTGGGCGGCGGTGAATGGCAAAGGATGGCGGTGGGAGGAGGCGGTTGGCGAAGGACGCTAGGGGGAGGCGGCTAGCGGCTGACGGGGGGAGGCGGCTAGCGGCTGACGGCGGGAGGCGGCCGGTGACAAGGGGGTGACCGGCTAGTAGCGAGAGCGAGCGATGAAAAAAGCTTTTATTTTTCATTTCTGTTCCAAAAATAGAAAAGTAGATTTTTTTTATTTCTGATTTCTGTTCAAAACCTATTTCTGGAATAGAAATTTATTCCAAAAATTTAAAAATAAAATTGCGTTATCAAACGGATTTCTGTTTCAAATTTATTTCTGGGTACAGAAAAATAAAAAAATAGAGAAACAAAAATGATTTCATGCTCGCCCTTGATCGCCAGAGGTGACTCGGGTGCAACCTCTTGATGATTTCTAGTGACCTAGCTTTGGTATTGAGCCCAACAGCCCAATAGCTAGAGCTAGACTAGACCAAGAAAAACGTGTACTACTTTTGAAGTAGGATTTTGTCCCTTGATTAATGTTCTATGACTATAGTACATATTTATACTTTGATATCATGTGAGCGCTTTCGTTCACTTCCACCCGCTTCTATCGGCATCTCTAGAAAAATATCTTTCACGATCAATTCCAGAAGCAGGTATGGAATTTGGGATTATTCCGTGGGAGGGAGACGGGTCCATGATATCCTAAGTAAGAACGTATTGGTGCGAGGTCGAGGTTAAAACCACTTCTGAATTTGATTTAGAGAGAGATGGGTGTGGAGAAGCAAATCCCTCGTCATCTTTCGAAAGGAATTTGAAATGACATAGCTATTTTTGCTCGTCTCTATACACATTGCAATATCATTCTGGCCAAAAGTATTGTTTTGATTACTATATGTTGGTCATTTGAATGGCCAAAATCTATTTCGATCAGTAAATGACAAATTTTCATTTTCACACCTTAAGTATGATTTTGTCACCTTTTATAAATAAATAAAAAAAGTACTTCTATTAGGTGCTTTGTGTAACTTTTATAAGTACTTGTGTATTCTTCGAAATTTTTCATGTAAATTCTGTAAATCTCGCCTCGCTTAGATTTTACGAAATTATTAGCTAGCCTCCCTCAAGTTGGAACATTGTATTCACCGCTACTTGTACTCCAAACAAAATATAGTTTGATCCTCGTACTCTAGATTGAAAAAAAAAGAAAAAAAGACGATGGTGATACATGTATTGCAAAATTTTAGAATTTTGAAGGGCTGCACTTCTATCATATCCTAGGACCAGGAACCGGCCGGTTCCTGAAGCAGATTGCAAACAAAAATCAACCAGTTTGGTTTTGATTCTATGCCGGAAGACCCATCTTGAAAATGATCACTCACAACTACTATAGTGATAATGGCTAGAAAAGCCCTTATACTACTTGACGCAGAACGAAAGCAGGACGGACGGACTAGAATTAATCTCATAAAAAAACATCAAATCTTAAGGAATAGAAAAATCTGACGCACCATAAAATATGAATAAATTCAAAATTTATGAAGTTGTACTACAATCAAAGATAAGGTATCTATCTATAGGGAACTAAACTCGAAGACCAAGTAAAAAGATTTGAAAAGGGAATCAGGGAATCAGATTATGCATATCTCTAAAGATATTCAACGATATTCTACTATTCCCATAAAGAAAGATAACGACCCTATTGTCCAAATAGTAATCCTAAACATATATAACATAGAAAAAACAGCACCGAAGTCAAAGGAAATCTCTTCGATTTCACGAAGATCAAACTCCTCCTCTGTTTCGTGCAATTGAGAGAGAGAGAGATGTCTAATGCTAGAGCAGTTGGGGAGCTACTTGGCTCCTAGGACAATGCCCCTAAGACAATGAAGGCCACAGGAGTACTCATTGACAGCACTGAGAAAGCTCTTCCCCCATAAAAGTGAGCGCAATCGAAGGCAAACAAGATCCCCCCCCCCTGAAAGCAGCCAAAAGTTGCTTCGTAATCAAAAGAAAAGCGATGGACTCCTTTTCATCTTTCCTTCACGTAGATTTAGGCTACCCCCAAAAAGCCTCCATCCCCCTTTCTTCTCATTTTCTTTACTCACCCTTTTGTCTTGAATTAAATATAAAGAAATCAAAACCTTATCCTTCACAAGAACGTTCATGGAGAAAGAGAGCAAATTCGCTAATGGGAAGCATCTTGGGCTTTTCATTATCATGGCGTGGTCCCCCCGCCCCGCTCTAATCATGTGATCAGCCCCCAATTCAAACATCTTTCGCCATGTGATCAGCCGTAGAAGAAGTGATGATAGCGATTGTGGGAGCAAGACGTAGTATTGGTTTTAGGGGTAGCTTCCATTGGCAAAGGGTCTTTTTCCCTCCCTCTCCCTCCTTTTTCTTTACTTTTTTTGGCCCGAAACATGAGCAATCGAACCCCATGTGTGAAGAAATCGATACGAACCTGGAGGTCCTTTTCTCTCGGAAATTATCCCTCGATACCCGCCCAACCCAACCCAACCGCCTCCACCAATCCCCATCGGCAATAAATCGTGCTCTCATCCGTTCATTCCAAGACTGGAGCAGTTAAGATATTTTTTTCCGTGTATCCACATACAATGCCATTCTACAGGAAAGATCTCCGGTCGATTCGTCCCGATCAAACGAGGAGCTCAAAAAGGGCCGTCGCGAACATCGATTGCTCTCGACGACGACGACGAAAACTAAGGTCCGGGACTGGGAGGGTACCATGAAATGAATCTTTTCTTGTGTCCCAATAGCGCGACCTGGTACTATCAATTACTTGATCCTTGGATGCAATATCTCTCTCTCGCTCTCGCTCTTTCTAAATGTCTGTTCCCTTGAAAAAGGACGACTGCCACTTACAATGAGAATGGAAATTTATTAAAAAGAGCAGAAGCCGTTTGAATTATTTTTGCTAGGAACAGAGTGGTCACCCATCGCCTCCTCCCCCACTCCCTTATTATTTGCTAGTACCTCTCATTGCTAACTGGGACGACGTTGATGCATCATCCTGTTCGGCGGCCCCAGCCTACCCCACACTCTCTCTCTCTCTTTCTCTCTCTCTATATGTGCTGCTGCTCCTAATGCTCAGCACATGAGGACGATGGAAAAGAGGGCACGATCAGAAGCAACCAAAATCCCAATCACAGCATACATTGAACCGATCCACACACAAGTAAACCCGAGCAAAAGAACAAAAACTTTTGTTCACGCCGCATCGAAAAAGCCAGGCGTTCGCCCCCGCTCATGATTAGCGCCACCAAACGCCACCCCCGATTAAGGGGCGACGGAAAAAGACGACGGAAGCTCCATCCCCGTCCCCATCGCCATCATCACCCCCACGCGTTATAATCTCAAACGATAAAACAAATCAGGGAGGGAGGAGGAGGGGTCGATGCCGCGTGTGTCCGCATCTGCATTCGACCACGTTGGGCGCGCCTAACCCAATGATTCTGACCAGACGGGAAGCACGTCCGGACGAGGGAGAGGATGGAGAAGGGGACAAATTGGCTCGGTCCAAACCCCCATTTTTGGATCCCACTGTTCTTTCTGTTCTCTTCCGCCCGCCCCCCACGACGATAATAATTGATAAAAGAGAAACAGTGAACAGAGAGAGAGAGGGAGAGAAGCGATGATAATGGAGACAAAACAGAGAGAAGCAAATCCCATCTCCGCCGTGCGTGGGGGGGGGCTGGCTCTGCTCTCTCTTCTGCAGAAAAAGGGCCTTCCCGTCTGGTACCGTTTGTCCTCTCTCTCGTGGGCTCAGGCCCACACACCCACCCTCCCTCCCTCCCTCCCTCTCTCTCTCTCTCTCTCTCTACCTATCTGTGCCATTTCAATCATTTGAATCCATCTCCTTCCCCTTCGCTTTTCTTGAAAAACTTTATTTGCAGAAGCATCTTCCTCTTACAATAATAATGTACAAACTCTCTTCTTCCCCCAATTTTTCACTGTTCTCTTGACTCCCTAACATGCTACTGCCTTGCAAAGGTGACACATATTTTATATTCATATTTTTATATATATATATATGATTTCCTCCGGGAGAGAAAGAAGAAGACAAAAGAGAGAAAAAAAAAATGGCAAAAACAAAAAAGGAAAGAAATTGGGAAAAACAAAAAGGGGGGGAGCTCTAAAATCTGGCGTTTTCGAAGCCGTGCAAGTCGCTAACCCGGTTCATCGACTTCCTCATGATGGCCACCTTCGCCAGCCTCTCCGCCGCCCTCCACGCCGACGTCGGCGTCAGCGTCTCCGCCTTCTCCTCCGCCCCCCGGGCGGGAGCGGCGGCGGCGGCGGCCACCCTGGTCCTCTGGGCTTGCCTGACCCGCCGGAGCTCCGCCAGCTCGGCCTCCAGGCAGCGCAGGAACTCGTCGGACGAGGTCAGGCCGGACTGCACCAGCAGCGCCCGGGCGGACGCGAGCAGGTGGTTGGCCCCAGGCGCGTCGCCCCGGTCGGCCAGCCGGCGGGACTCCGCAATGGCCCGCGCGGTGACGTGGAGGTTCTTGAGGCGTCGGATGCCGTGCGGCGACGACGACGTCGTGACGGCGTGGGGGCGGGGGACGGGGATCGGCTGCTCCCGCGAGTACACGAGCTCGCGCGTGAGCGGGTCCCGGTAGGACGAGCCCACCGACATCACGTGGTGGGACCCGGCGAGCCTCAGCTCCACGAGCAGCTCCCGCTCCTCCTCCGCGAAGAGGTCGCCGACCCGGATCAGGCCGGACCCGAGCGACGCGGGCCGGCCCGTCAGGGAGTAGACCGCCGTGATCTCGACCCGGTCCGACCCGGAGATGAACCCGAGCTGGAGCTTCAGGTCCTGCACGACCACGCACGTCAGGCCGGTCAGGCGCCGGGCGAACGACTCGTCCTGCGCCGCGTGGCTCGACGCGCTCCCGCGCGGGTCGCAGAAGCCGACGGCGTGCACGGGGATGTCGCCGAAGCGCGTGGACGACGACACGATGGCGGAGCTCCGCCGCTGCTTCGCGGCGTTGGCGTGCACGCGCTGGTCCTGGCCGTCGGACAGGAGCACGATCGTCGCGGCGGGGTTCCGCTCCCGCCTGTCCTCGAGGACCTTCGCCGCCTTCCGCAGCGCGTCGTTCACCAGCCCGGCCTGGCCGGTGCAGCCGATCGCATCGACGATCCTCCGCGCCGACCGGCGGCCAATCATCGTCATCCTCTTCAGCGGCAGGAGCCGCTTGGAGGTGGTGGAGAAGGCGACGATGGAGAGGCGGTCGGTCTCGCCCAGCGAGGAGATCACCAGCCGCATCGCGCGCTTCATCATGAGGAGCTTCTCGCCGTTCATGCCCGCGCTCACATCCAGGACCGTCACCAGGTCGATCGGAGCTCTGGCAGACGCCGCCCTCGCCGCCACCGCCGGCGCTTTCACCTTCAGAACCACCGCGCACGTCCCGTAGCTCTTGTTCGCGGAAATGACCGCCGCTTCGGGCAGCAAGCTCACCTCCACGTTTCTCCCGTCCTTCTCCTCGTCCGACAATCTCATCCTGCTGCTCAACGGCGACGCCGATGAGCCGACGCAGAAACCTTGAAACTCCACATCCTCCTCTCGCTGCTGCTGATCATCTTCGTTGCTCTCGTCCGATTCAGGAATCGGATTGAATCGAGAGACGGAGCTCGGGGACAGCAGCGACTCGTCGTCGTCGTAGACTCGCAGCGGCTTGGGCTTGGCATTCTCGATCTTCGACCCGGCGTCGTCGATCTTGCGCGCGTCGAGCAAGGGAATCTCCTTCCAGCAGGCGCTGCAGACGGGACAGGCGAGGACCCGGTGCTTCTTGACGTGCGCCGCGACGCAAGGGAAGTGGAAGGTGTGAGCGCACTCCGCCGTGAGAATGGCGGTCCCTTGCCCTGTTTTCACGCTCTGCAAGCAGATTCCGCATCTCGTCTGCAGCGACAGCCACGAACGAGCGTCACCAAAAGGGAAAAAGCCAAAGCAATTCGCGCTTCGCATTGATTAGAGCAATGATGAGAGCCAGAGGGTGGCTTACCCTGGAGAGGCGGAGGCTCGCCTTGAGGAGAGAGAACCCGGACGGCGATCTCGGGGACGAAGGATTCGAGAGACCGAACAGCGCCGGGCTGTGGCTCTGCTGCTCCCCGCCGCCGCCGCCGCTCCTCCTCGTCGGAGCCGGGGACGGCGCCGTCTTGCACTGGAGCCTCGGGCTGCTCGGCACGGACGAGGCCCGGCAGCGGAGGCCGGGGCTCGGAGCCGGCTGAGGCTGAGGCTGAGGCTGGGAGCGAGGGGTGGAGGGATTGGAGAAGAAGCCGAATTTGGAGGAGATCCTGGGGCTGTTGCCGGTGCTGCTGCCGCCGCCGCCGCCGCCGCCCCCATTGTTGAGGCGCGGGAGCTTGCAGGAGAAGGTCTTGGCGTTGGCGTCGTCGTCTTTGGGGATGGAGGTGCAGAAGGCTCTTCGCCAACCGAGGACCATCGTTCCGTCGCTGTGTATCTGTCGTCGTCGTCGTCGTCGTCGTCGTCTTTGCCTTTGTCTTTGGGGGGGGATTCAAGAGGGTCTGAACATGGAGGAGGAGGATGACGACGAGGATGAAGGGAGGAGATCGCTGTTTTCGTCTTCACAAGATCACTGCAAAGTGCAAATGGAGATCACTCTCTCTCTCTATCTCTATCATCTCGCTCTGAGCTTCCTTCTCCGGTGGTGGTTTTAGCGAGGATACGATATAAAAGCGACGGGGGAGGAAATAAGCCAAAAAATGCGTTTATTTTTATTTTTATTAGAAAAAATTATTTTATTTAAATATAAAGGATGGAAAAAATATACATATATATATAGAGAGAAAAAAAAAAAAGGAGGGGGAGGGGTTTTGGTTATGGTTAATATCACGAAAAATCCCAAATAAACTAGTACATCCGTGATAAATTTACCCTAAATTAATTTTTCTTATCACGAAAAACCCGAAACTGGTACACTTATGACGATTTCACCTCCATCTGTTTCCGTTAAATTTTACCCGTTAAAAAACTGAGTTGGATGATACGTGGCGGACCGGCGGTTGACTAATGTACCGGTTTGGGATTTTACCTTCTGTTTATCACGGGTGTATCCGGTTTGTGATTTTTTCGTGATATTAAATCGATTTAACGGAGGATGGTAAATTTATAATGAACGTACCGGTTTTGAGTTTTTAGCGGTCAAAAAATTAGTTTGGTCAAAAAATTTATCATAGATACACTAATCTGAGATTTTTCGCGGTATTTTAACCCTTTCGGTTATTGGGATTTTAAACGTGGTGACTGGGAAACTGGCAAGTGGCGGATTTTATAATTTATAATTTTATAATTTTATTTTTGGCCTCGCCCTCGTCCTACGCCTGGGCTTGACGGGTCAACGGGGCGGTGCTCCTTCCTTGATAAGCTCGAGCATGCCTTTCGCTCGCGGTGCCGGTCAACCGTTCGACCGATCTGGAGGGTGTGGCCTTGCGGAAAGGTTGAACTTCCCACATGGGGAATCGTATTGACCGACCGTCGCCTTAATTTTTTTATTTTTATTTTTTGGACACTTTCTCGGATTGTATACGTACATTATACGGAAAGGGAACCGGCGAGGAACGTTTTCATCGCCCGCCGAGTTTTGCAATTTTTTTACTACCCGATGTATGGATGCAGCCGGACGTGCGTTCGAGGACGGCGGGTGTGGCTCCACCTCGGTGGTTCGAAGATCCTTTCGACTATTAAGGTGGAAATGCCGTTGTTTTTTTTTTTTTTTAAAGCGAGGAAAGGATGCCGCTATATATGATCTTAGCAAGAAAGGAAAGGTGCGGATCGCTTCTACAATCGTTCATACTCAGATTGCGTTTAGGAGAGCACTCGGGGAAAGTCTTTGAGGAAATGCAAAAAAATTGTTATATGCAAGGGTTCTTTTCGAAATGCAAACGGCGTTTGCTAAATTGTAATCGAAAAGTGTATTGGGAAGCGACGTTAATGTAAATGTTGCTCGCGAAAAAACCACACTTATAAAGGGCTTTCAGTTATATTTTTAAAATAAATAAGACACAAAAAAAAATCGAAGCATAGTCACCGGCAACACTCGGTTGAAGAAGGGCTAAGAGATTTTGGAAATGCTAACTTCGACTCAAATACCAGCCCCTTAAAATTTAATCACCAGACACCTCGAATTTTGGCTCAAAGACCTTTAGGGGTCCAAAGCTCATTCCGAAATGCCGCGCGAAATGCGACCCTAGCGATCGATTCGAGAGGGGGCGACCAATGGCCGCCGCCGCCGCCGCTTACCCGCTACGCCCGCGTGTTCCGTATAATTTCTCATTAGTATTTATTGCATTTCTTAATATTTTTCGCGTACAAAATGATTTATGATTTTTCCTGCCTGGATAAGGTACGGCCCCCTTTTTCGGACATGAAAATAAAGAAAGAATATTATGGCCCTTGAATGTGTTGGGTGCGTGGAAGGAGACGAACCCCTTATCGTGTGCAGAATGTTTTCCAGTGCTTTTATCATGTTTGGTATGATATGAACCCTTCGTAATGCAGTCCCACTCCTCCTTACATGGAATTGGGAACGCCGTTAATGCGGTGCGTTGAAGGGAACTGCCTTTCTTTTTTTTTCTTTTGTTTAAGGCTAAAAACAATAAAGTAGTCAAAAAATGTAAAACTAAAAGCGTTTTTTCGGAAAGGGTTAATACTATGAAAAACCCCAAAATAGTACACATATGATAAATTTACCCAAAAATAACTTTTTGATCACCAAAAACCCCCCAAACCGGTACGTCAAACTAATTTTTTAACCACAAAAAACTCCAAACTGGTACATTTGTGATAAATTTATGTTATGTTCGTTTCCGTTAAATTAGATTAATACCACGAAAAACCACAAACCAGTACACTTGTGACAAACAGAGGGTAAAATCGCAAATCGGTACACCCGTTAACTGTCACGTGTCATCTAACTGTGCAATTTGACGGTAAAATTTAATGGAAACTAAAGGGTAAATTTGTCACAGGTGTATCAGTTTGGGATTTTTGGTGGTCAAAAAATCAGTTTTGAGGTAAATTTATCATAGGTGTACCAGTTTGTGGTTTTTCATGATATTATCCCTTTCTAAAAAGGGGATTAATACCACAAAGTCTCGAACCCGTAGACCCATGTTGCACTTACCCCCGAAGTAATTTTCGTGTCGCGGAAAATCCCAAACCGGTATACTAACGCCGCATTTATCCCCAAAATCATTTTCGCTTCACATAAAATTAGGAATATTAACGGATTTTTTTTTAATTTTAAGGGAGCTTTTGGGGAAAAATTAGTGGGTTTTAGCGAATTTCTCTAATATGAGATTATGATGATTTTAGATTTTTCGTGGCATAAAAATTAAGTTTGGGTAAGCGCGGAACTCGTGTACAAATTTCATATTTTTGTGATATAAAAATTAGTTTTTGGTAAATGTGGCGGATCTACCATTTTGAAATTCTTTTGTAATACCGTTAGAATAATTAAATATTAAATCACGCCTTCATCTAACAGTTTAAGCTTTTAGAACAGTTGGCGGCGGTCCAACAAAATCTCACAAATACGAAAATTAGTTTTGAATAAACAGTTAATATCACGAAAAATGCAAAACCGATACACCTGTAACAAATTTACCATCACAAAAAATCCCAAACTACTACACTTTTGACAAATTTACTCAAAACTAATTTTTTGACCACCAAAAACCCCAAACTGGTACATCCGTGACAAATTTACCCTCCGTTAGTTTCCGTTAAATTCGATTAATACCACGAAAAATTACAAACCGGTACACATGTGAGAAACGAAGGGTAAAACCCCAAACCGGTATACCCGTCAATTGCCACGTGTCATCCAACTCAGCAAATCGACGGTAAAATTTAATGGAACCTACCAGAGGGTAGATTTGCCACAAGGGTATCAATTTGCGGTTTTTGATAATCAAAAAATTAATTTAGGGTAAATTTTTCGCGGATATACTGATTTAGGATTTTTCGTAGTATTATCCGTTTGAGATATTTTTGCAATTGCTAGAAAAAAAAACAAAAGAAAGAGAAATGAAAGAAAGGAAGGCGGTGCGATTCTCTCTGTCTCTGAAGAAGTGCCCTTTCGATCGGGTAGCGTAGTGGTGGGGGGTTGCACGAGTTTTTTTGGGGGAGTGAATTGAAATGTGTATGTGTGTTAGATAAGATAGATGTAATGTACCCCGGAGAATGACGGCCATCATGAACCATTTCTTTCTATTTTTTGGGTGCATAATCATAGCAAGCTCCACAGCATTTTTGAAATTCGTAGCGCCGTGCCCCTGACATCGACTCCGTTCGAACTCTCGTCGGGACTTTCAGTCACGTGCTTCCGTTGAGAGAAAGATGGGAGGGTTAGATTGCAGCGGCGGCGATAGCTGCTAACATCGCGATTACGACGAGACCCGTTTATTTAATTCGTGAACTTAGTAGAACGCAACCCGGGGAGCGCATATCAATAACCAAGGATGGATCTTGTTGGGGGTATGGTTCATACTCCCCTCTGACAGAAAGGCACGAGAGTCCACCCTCTAACAGATCTATAAATCTCGTTTACACTTTCTCTTTTCCTAAACTCTTTAACTTTCATTGTTTGTTTATATTACTAGTTCACTTTACACATGGAAGTAAAATTTTTATTGGGATTGGTTCTACAGAATTAGTTTCTATTCTCTTGGAAAAACCAACTCACTCTTTTTCTTTTTCGGTTGCTTATTTTGGGCACAACAATATAAAGAATGAAATTAAATGCAAAATATAACCACCACGTTCTCTAAAAATTTGAACCTTTTAGAACAAAATGGTCGCGTCACTGGAGTAAGTCGGTATCCGAGTTGGATCTCAAGTTTAGGCTCCGTTCGTTTGGCGGAAAATATTCTCCCGAAAAATATTTTCCGGATTTTCCGGTGTTCGGGGGGCGGAAAACGTTTTCCGTGGGAAAATATTTTCCTTCCCCCTCTCACAAAATAGCCTAAGTCTATGGAAAATGACTTCCGCTTCTTCAAAAGCGGAAATCATTTTCCGGAGCTTCTTCTTCTTCTTCTTCACTAAGGTCGTTGGCCCTGCCGCCGGCCCCGCCGCCCCGCACGTCGCCGCAAGTCGGCCGTCGGCCCCGCCGCGGGCCGTCGGCCGCCGCCGCAAGCCGGCCGCCGGCCGCCGCCGCCGGCCGTCGGCCGCCCGGCCGCCCGCCTCCGCCGGCCGGCTGCGGGTCGCCGCCCGCCGCCGCCGCCGGTCGTCGGCCACCGCCGCCGCCCGGTCGCCGGCCTCCTCCTCCCGCCGCCACCGCCGCCACCGCGGTCGCCGATAGCCGATCGCGGCCGCCGGTCGCTGCAGCCGCCGCCGGCGAAAAATATTTTCCGAAACTTTTTCATATTGATCGACGAACACTGGAAAATTATGTTCCGAGAAAACAATTTCCAGGAAAATGACTTCCGGAAAAATATTTTCCAAAAGGAGAATATTTTCCGTTAAACGAACGGAGCCTTAGTTTCATCCATTTGTGAGTTTCCCCTTGGGTGACCAACAATTCCTTTACTTACAAACAGCGGATTTTTACTAATTAAAAAAGAGTTTTTTTTCTTTATTATATAGAGACGTATGCGGTATCATCTTTTAATAGTTTAAACTGTAACTGTTAGAACAACTCGTCGTCTCGCTCAAATTTAACGTGATGAAA